CTCATCAACACCTATAAATAAACACAAAGCCAATCGATATTTATTTGTCTGTGCTGTATTGTCTGTTAAAATTACATTATTATGTTTTAAATATAGATTTCGCTAATTAGGCATCATCCAGAATAAATGATAAAGACGGTTTTTAATACAATAATCTGCTATGAACCATGTTGGGTCTTCTTCTTTAAATGTTCTCAAAGCTTTTAAAAGATTAGATACATCATTTCAGGACCCTTCTCCAGATCTGTTATATCACCCTTTCTAAAATGTTGAATCACATTGGCTAAATCTTTATCAAGAAACAATTGATCCTCAAATTCAACTTGTAGAAGTTGTCTCAAAGTATGTTGACTAATATCGGAAACTGCTTTTACATAAAATCCAACCTTATTGATTATGTTTTGAGGAAGTTGCCGATATACATTAATAAAGTGTACATTATCAGGACAAAGTGTATGATCATGATGGGTAAGATTCAATTTAGTTATTGATGGACCCGGCGCACTTAATAGCCAACAAATATTAATAAAACAGGTACAACCCGTCTTGACAGACTTCCAGTTATGTTGTTGTGAAGGATCAGTTGCTTTTTTCTTTGATTGATAGTTTCCAGCATGTTGACATTCAAATACATACTTATAAACCCATTATTTTTATTCAGTTTTTTATCCTGAATTCGCCATGCAAATCCCTCTTTTTGTCTATAAGCTAATAAAACTAAATTAACATGATCCCAGTGCTCAAACTGCAATCCCGTATGTAAGTTTGCTGCTTGTTCAAAGAAAATATGAGGTATTGATAATTTTTCAAGTGGACACCATTTAGATATTCCATTACGGTTAATCGAAGTAATAGGTAAAGAAAGATCCTCAGAAACTTTATTAGCTTTATTCTGGCTCAACTAAAAAGTTAAGTAAGTATAAACTTGATCAACTAATAAGCAGCATAATTAAGAATATATACTTCACTTAATTCTTCTTCCAGGTTATCAAATTCTTGGCTCAACTAAAAAGTTAAGTAAGTATAAACTTGATTAACTAATAAGCAGCATAATTAAGAATATATACTTCGCTTGATTCTTCTTCCATGTTATTAAATTCGTTATGACTTTCATTATTAACGCCAGTTTGACTCATCATCTAAAGGCATAAGTTGGTATAAGAATGCTTGTAATAAAGGTAGTTACTAAATAGAACTTGCATACTTACTATTAACGACTTGAAATTAATACTAGATCAAATGTGGTAAACAGAGAATAATTTATAGTAAGCAACGAATTAGTGTAAGTAACGATTTGTGATAAACAGTAACTTGTAGTTGACAACGTTTATAGCTACAATACCTTGTAGTGGGCAACTTTAAGTAAAAAATAAGCCACGTTTTGTTATTAAAATGTTTGTGATAAGCGAAACTTCGTAGTGGGCAATGATTGTGACGGGCAACGTTGCACAGTAGTGGACAGTGTCTTATTAGTAGTTGCGGTGGTAAGTACTATAAAAAAAAAAAGAATGTAAAAACTAGTAAATTTGTCACACGGTTAAAATGGTATAACAATAATAATAACGATAATTGATTAATAACAATAAAAAAAAAAAAAAAAAAAAATCAATATCTAAAGTCATGTGAATATCAAGTGGATGACGGCTAAAATTATCCACCTGGATGATTTACATAATAATTCATAAATTTTATTATAAAGTTCAAATTAGCATATATTTTTTTAAGAACTAAACTTTATAACTTATTTTATATATAAGAACAGATAGTTTGAAATAAACAAAGTTAACTGTATATAAGACCTGTACAATAAGTATATAAGTTATATATACTATATATAATTAAATATTATTTTCAATTAACCTACTAAGATAATTTGGGCTGCTGTCAAAAGAAATAAAGCAAATTGACATTTTTAAAAAAATAAATATGCTAACTTTCACAGCTCATAACTCAATGAATTTTGATGCTATATTGATGATTTAATATTCAAGAGGAAGCCTAGACCGTAAGCTTTCTTTTGACTATTAAATCATCAAGATAGCTTCAAAATCCATCGAGATATGGGCTGTGAAAGTTAAGCTATTAATTTTTTTAAAATGTCAATTTGTCTTATTTCTATTGACGGCCGCCCATTTAATGTAGTACAATACATAGAGTATACAGATATATTAAAAAAAATTTTTTTTACTTATTTCTACCATATTTTAAAAACTGCAATAAATAAATAAAAATTAAAAAACTAAAAAAAAGTATTAAAAAAATTAAAAAAATAAATCAAAAAAAAATCAAAAAAATCAAAACAAAAATAAAATAAAAATAAAATAAAAATATAAACAATTTAAATAAAACCAGATATACTAAATAAATAATCTATAAAGTGATTTTACTAGTATGCAAAAATCTTGGTTTTTGATTAATTACACAAATTTTTTATATAAACTTGCAAAGATTTTATTTTTTATAAATTTTTATTTTAAATTTTGCAATGATTTAATAATTTTAAAGTTTATTGTAGATTAATATTTTTATTTTTTCAATATATAATAAAACTATGCTTAAATAATTAAAAAATTATCAAAATTATAATTGTCTTGTTATAACCAATAAGATTGTAAAACCAAAACCTAAAAAAACTGCTTTAAACTCAAAATCTTCTATATCTTGGCCCGTCCAGCTTATAATTAATATAATTGGTCAATTTGATTCGTGTAATTCGTGTTATCGATAATCATTACAGCATTACTAGAATTTACAAACGCATCTGTCACTCAAAATCTTTAATAAAATTATAATGAAAATAGTGTATATTGTGTAATATTAATATGCTTTATACTTAAGAGTTAACACATAAATTTATTTAAATGTTTATTTGAAAGTTGAAATACAAATTTTCTTAATGTCATTTAAGTCAAATTCATGAAAAAACAGTCAACTCACAAATCAATTAACAACGATAACTAGTTATAATTCCACATTACTTGTCGTCACGAATATATTAAATTGAATAATACTAAATAAGAACAGCCTTTGTTTTGCGCAATTATCTATAATTTGTTAAAGATTGGCTAAGTTTAAAAATTCATTTGAATCATAAAATAATTCATCATCTATAACAAGAGGTGGATTCGCAGCATCATCAAAGCTTAAATTTTGTTGCGTTAATTGTCGTGTATATATGTTTGTATACGTTCTTTTGGGTGAATCGGGCTCCTGTTACGTATCGTTTAATAAATAGGGTCGACAAGTGGTTAAAATAAAATGAAGCATTTCGTTCAAGTGCTGAGTTGATAAATAGATTCATATTGACCTCTTCGTCATCGCATATTTCGCAATCATTGGTTAAATTAGAAATGTGATCTATTTCACTGTAAGTTCGTTTTCTTGGTACCCTCGGTGATGGGGATACCGGAGCTGGTCCGAGCAATTCATCTAGTTTTTCCTCATCATCCTGGTCTTCTGTTAAGGATGATGATGATAATAATTTAGGTGGCCAAACTGATGTAAACCTTGTTGCGTGTTTTCTCATGGTATTGGGAAAAGATTTTTGCTGCCTTCGATGTGGTGGGGTAACGAAAGGGGATGCGTGTGATGTTTTAAGTCTTGGTGCCGATTTCCAACGAGGTGTCTCTGGCTGAAATGTTGATCCATGGCGACGAAAATCCGGTGTTGAAACATTTTGTGGTCTGCTCATCGTAGATTCATGTGAAAAAATTCCGGGCGGAAAATTGGAAGGTCCTCCCTAATTAATATGATTATAAAATTATTTATATATGCGTGATAAATGGCGAAACGTCCTAATATCAGTCTCGAAACTAAATACCTCATTACTCAAGGTTTGAATCTGACGGCACTCTAACGATTCAATCACCGTTCTTCGAAAGGAAAATTCCTGTTCAGATGCATTACCCTGACCAATTTCTTCTCCTTTGTTTCCCTCAGGCTGTTTGAACAACAAGTTTCCTCGAGTGTCCTTTTGAGTACTCGAAGGTATGTAAAAGGGATTTGCTCCTGATTCATCATCAAGTATTCTTGTATATCGACGTTTTGGTGCTGTGGGAGTTTCCGCTTTAGATGCTAATGGCGTTTCATTATCCTGTGCCATTTGGGTCATCTTTTGCTTTTTCATCGTACATATTATATATATAAATGAAACTCTTAATTGTATGTCTCAATTATTTAATTGAAGTATCTTAGTTACCTGCATCATAGCATATTTTTCATTAAGCTTGCTTGTATTGCCCTTTTTCGCACTGTTTTCAAGTTTTTTATCTCTGAGAATTGGAGAACTACCAAACTCCTGACTTCCGTGACTTCTCGATGAAGCAGATAATGGAGATTCATCCACGTTAAAAATATCGGGACGATGTCGGGTAGGTGTGGACAATTTTTCGTCTATATTAAGAAAAACCAAAGGCAACGAAAGCTATATATTTATAAGCAAAGACTAGTATCATTGTAATATTGAATAACGTGCCTGAATCAACGAGGTCTGGCACTTTTACAATAGTTTTTGACACCCTATAAATAATATCGTATTTGATTTTTTGTCAAATACTTCTCGACAGACTCAAAATATTTTTTATAAAATTTACCTGGAAAATGGAACATCTCGTAATTCTTTAGTGGGTGATGGAAGGTTTTCATTATCATCTTCATAGGGTATTTTAATTTTTGACATTTTCAAATTTTGTTTTCCCCGTTCGCGTAAAAAAGAAAAAATCGAATGTTTATTGAAATACGTGAATGATCGACCAATTCTCTTAATTATTCCGGATCGGGCCGATATAAAATCCTCTAGTATAAATATAGGCTAGCTTTTTCGTGATTGGTCAATTTTATCAACTGAATCTATCAGTAAAGTGTCTTCTGTAGTAT